AAAGCTTTCCCTTGTTGCAGAGCATTCTCTCATCAAGACAGAGGGAGAGGGGTGCCTTGCCCAGCCTAAGGAGTTTTGTCCTTGGCTGGCCGAAGGACTCTTCCTCCCGCCAGACTTCAAAGATCCATACCTCTGTTATCTCCCTCCCTGTCCGGTATACTCCCTGTACTTTCTCATCCATAGCTCCCAAAGACACCTGGAACTTTAGATTACCTCATCAGTGTCCCTGGCATTCCTTTCCCATGCCCTTTTCCATATAAACCCTATATCCTCAGTCTCTTGCAGGTTCCTTAAGAATCCTTGCCTGCTGAAAAGCGTAACAATAAATCTTTGCCACCTTGACTTAAAGAATGCTTGAGTCTGTGAATTCATTCCAGATGACCCTATCCAGTACTCTGGTCTTTGAGGGGTCTCAACCTCTCAGACCGCAACAGTATGAAGGGAGGGCCAATAAATTTTATGTGGATTTTCCATATTGTGGGGCACCCCTACTGCCACCATATGGAAGGCATAACTGTATTTTCTCAACTTGATTCAATTGCTCATCTTCCCTAAGGAAAAGGAGACTGGTGAAATGCTTTAAGGCATGGCCTGCACAACATGCAGCCCGCCCAAGGATTTCAGGTGGCCCCCCGAAAAATGTAGGGTTGCAGCTGCACACGCTCCTGTTTGTCACATGACCTGCAACAACCAACCAGCATCATGTCTGTCTCTAGGCTAACCTACCTGCAGCCTGAAGAAGTTTACAAGTTGTGCAGGTCTGCTGTAGGGTATCCATTCTTTGAATTACAGAGCTAATGGCCCTTCCCTCCCATTCTATAAAACAATGCAAATGAAAAGAAGTGTTTTATGGCCCGAAAGCATTATGATAATGATTACCAATTACAATCCTCCAACAAGTCTCCCTCAGATACCATCTTGATAGGAAGTTAACCCTAAATTCTTAAAGGTCAATCCAGTGGCACCCAAGCTCTAGCAAGCCCTACCAGGCTGGAAAGGCATTGAATACTACTGTGTTGAACACTCTTAACACTACTATTATCCAAGGAATGACGTAGCTAAGCTTGGAAAGGCTGGTCCCTAAGGTTGTTCACCAGGTGATGACTTTTTGACCACAAAAACTCTTGATCGACACCCACTATGGCATGTAGCAAGCTAAAGTTGAAGCTGAAGAAATTATAGACCCTTGAAACTATAATAATAATAATTGTAGTAATACAGTGGCAACATGGCATAGCAGACAGAGAGCTGGCCTCCGCATGAGGAAGACCCGGGTTTAAGTCTTAACTTTAATACATACTGATTCTGTGATTCTGGGAAAGTCATTTAACCTCTGAGTGCCCCAGGCACCCAAGTTGTAGAGAAATTGCCAATTTGCTTTGGTAAAGAAAATTTCCCATCTGGGAATTCCCTATATCAATGAAATCCATAGGTCCTATCTAAAGAGGAAAAGGAGGAGGAAGTAATAAGAATGAATAATTGTTTACTTATCAATAATAACAATTATTTAATTGTTAACAATTAGTTTTAATAATTGACATCATTAATTTTATATAACATTATTATATAATGTGCAGTGTTTATAATATATTATTAATATAATAACAATAATAAACAAACAACCTCTCAAATAACACTGTGTTTAGTTCATGATTTCAACGAAAGCCCAATAGTTATAGCAACAGGTCAATAGTTCACTCCCTCACTAACCAATGCAGAGAACCCACTTACATCAAATAAACAAAAAGCCAGGATCTTTGCCCTGGGAAGTGGAGTCTGGTGAGTGACAGCAAACTTACAACTGAGAAAGACTTAAGCATGCAGTTCTATGTGACTGAAGTGTCCCATCTATACTGATCTTCTAGACACCTGGCCCATAGGCACATTACTTTGAGATGGCTGATAGGAGTTAGAGCCTAGAAGCAGCTGGGCCTGAACCCAGAGGCACAGCCCTCTCATAACCCTACTCATCACAATCATGAATATGCATATCATGTGTGTCAAATTAACTTGCGGGTGGGGGGGAAGGATAAATCTTATTTGATTACAACAGTAATCTCTATTCAGGTTTGATCAGTCTGTGTGGGCTGCCCACAGATGCCACAACGTTGAAAAATTTAAGGGAACTCTGTCGGGAAGGATCCAAGCCCCTCCCTGCCCTGGTGTTACCAGTAGAGAGGGGAGGGCCTTAAATCTGCAGCTGTTCCAGGTGGTGTCTCCTCTCCCTGAGGCTGTCCTCCTCCCCACAAGCAACCTCAGAATACCCAGGCTTTCTGTCTCCTCTCAGGGTCCTGAGCATCATCATCTTCTTATTCTCCTACCTCTCAGTACTGTCATTTTTAGTATAGTGCCTGGCACATAGTAGGTGCTTAATAAATGTTTATTGTATTGTGTTGTATTTTTCATCTTTGTATCCTTAGTGCCTAGTACATGGGCCCTGCCCCTAACTGCCACTTAAAGTGTGTATAATTGACTGAAAAATAGCCAGCCTTCAGATAGCCCTTTAAGCTTTGCAAAACACTTCACATATGATTGTCACCACAACATTGTGAAGTAGATGCTATTATTATACCCGTCTTACTGAAGAAGAAACTGAGGCTGAAAAGCAAAATGCTTTGCCCAGGGTCACCTAGTTATTAAGTGGCTGAGGCAGAATAACATTTGAGGAACAGTTCAGATGTACTTGCAAACAAATGAGCCATAGAAGACCCCCACAGTGACCGGTGGGATGACAAGAACACTGAAAGTCAGATAATCTATTGCCCAGGTGACAGACACACAGCACATACTAAGGACAGCTGCCCCTAGATACCATCCAGCGCTCCCCTACCTCCTACTGCTGTTGCACCCACTACTAAGAACTCTTCTCTCAGTAAAGGGTTTGGTGCAAAGAACCATTCTGGGATATCAATCATATGGACGGCAGTCCCCAAGAAAGAGTGAGGAAAGGGGACAGGAGAAGAGATAGAATGAGGGCACACCTGGTGCAGGATAGCAGCTCCTCCCTCAGAGTCCACCAGGAGCCCACCAGGGCAGGGAGGGTGGGTCACCCTCAGGCCTGTCTATGATCTTCAGATAGCTCCGTCTGTACTGTTGCTATTTGATGGAATGCTACTCAACAGGTTCTGGGGTTTGGGAGGGAGCTTCTGCACATGCCCTGATGTGCAGAGTGAGGGCCCACACCATCTGTCTTTTTATGGAGTGTCGGAACGGGAAGCACAGACTTAGAGGGGACAGAGAGAGCTTTCCTGTTTGAAGACAGGAAAGCAGGGGAGATTCACCAAATAAACGCAAGCCCCGTCACCTGGTGCTACTCTGGACATCTTAGCATGAACAAAATAACTTCAGTTGTTATAAATAGCAACCAATTGCTTAAAAAAAATTAAAAGGGGGGGAGTAGAATCCAATCACAGATTTGAAGTAGGATTCCATGTAGTTCAACATCCTTGTTTTACAGTGGAAGAAACTGAAATCCATGGAGGTCAAGTGACTTGGCCCAGCTCCCAGGGTAGTAAATTACAGAAGCTACATTTGAATTCAGGGCCTCTGGTTCTAAAGTTCTTTCCACTGGGCTACTTTTCTGCTAAGCTCTGAGCAGACCACATGGGCATGAATGTCTTTACCCAGACAAGCTCTCAATGAAATCGAGATTGTTTGAAATAGGTTACCCCTCCATTTTCTCTCTATTCCTAAAACTACCCAAACAGTTATTACAGAAATCAATGCACTTGGGTGCACTATTAAGTCACCATCACCTGCCCAGGTCTTGGACTAGTTCTCCATAGAAAGTTTTTAACAATCACAGGATGCCCAACTTCTTTCTGAGGGCCCTGGAGGTCTTTTGCTCAAGCCTACTCTTTTTTTTTTTTCAAGCCTACTCTTAACTGGGCAAGAGTTCTCTCCAGAACATTCCTGATAATCAGCCATTCAATCACTTCGGGGGAAACGTTGGTAATGAGGAATTCCTTCATTCCAAAATAGCCCACTCCATTTTCAGAGAGCAATGATTGTTCAAGACCTATTTCTCTACAACTTCCCCCAGATGCTGCGTTCTGCCCTCTGGGGCTAAGCCAAGTAAAAATACTTGAACACAGCAATGGTCTTCCCCCTAAATCAAATATCCCTAGTTTCTTCAGCTGCCCCCCCCCACACACACAGGGGTTATATATCCCATCCTCCCCACTTCAATCCCACACCTGTTATTTACTAGCGGTATGACCTTGGATGAGTCACATGCCCTTCGTGGGCCTCAGTTTCCCCACTGTAAAATGAGAGAGTTGGACTAGGTCAGGTGTTCTTAACCTTTTTTGTAGCATGGATTCCTTTGGCAGTCAGGTAAAGTTTTGGAACACCCCCCTCTCAGAATAATGATTTTAAGTGTATAAAAATAAAATGTATAGGATGACAAAGGAAACCAATTATACTGAAATATAGTTATCATTTTTTTTAAAAGTTCATTGAGGGGGCAGCTATGTGGCACAGTGGATAGAGCACCGGCCCTAAATTCAGGAGGATCTGAGTTCAAATCCGGACTCAGATCAAACACTTGACACTTACTAGCTGTGTGACCCTTGGCAAGTCATTTAACCCCAATTGCCTAATAAAAAAAAAAAAGTTCGTTGACCCGAAGTTAAGATCTCCTGGATTATGGTTTCTTCAGCTCTAAATCCTAAATAGAATAGATAAGGACTCAAAGGTGTATTTGAATGTGCAAACAAATGACTGGCGGGGAAAAATACTTTACATAGAAAATACTGTACATAGAATGCACACCAAAAAATATCTAGAAAAATATTTCTCTATTGCTTTTTTTAGGTGCTTTCATCCATCCTTGAGAAACCACACAAATCTGTTCCACAGGTTCCTGTGCCCATCGGTGAGATGACCTTTCTCCTGAAGCTTGTGGCAGGAATGAGACCTAGAGTATTCCTCCCCCTCTCCCCAGGCCCCTACTACTGCCTCACCCAAGGAAGGGAACACAGAGAATCAGCCCTTGGTACCTGAACACCAGGCTCGAGCCCGGCCACTGCCTGCGGTACTGAACTGGCCGCCACACAAGCTGGGGCCTGGGGATCCGGGTATGGGTGAAGTTAGGCCACGGCTGCCCCACCTCTTCCATCTTCTCAATTCTGAGACGGGATAGGAGTCGCTTTTTTTCCAAATCACTTAAACTTCTTCCCCTGGAAAGTCCCAGAGCAGGGGAGCTGCTGCCCTGATCCTGCTTCATCTGTATATGGGAAGAGTTAGCGAAAAGCAACCAGAAACTACCCACCAGGCAAAGAGAGAAAGAGAGGGAGAGAGAAAGAGAGAGAGAGAGAGAGAGAGAGAGAGAGAGAGAGAGAACAAGAGACTAAGAGAGAGAGAGAAAGAGAGAGAGGAAGAGAGAGGGAGAGAGAGAGAAAGGGAGAGAGAGGGAAAGAGAGAGAGAGAGAGAGAGAACGAGACTGAGAGAGAGAACAGGAGATTGAGAGAAGAGAGAGACACACACACATACACATACGCATACACACACTGACTGGGTATCAGTCTCTCTCACCTCCTCCTCCTCCTCCTCCTCCTCCTCCTCCTCCTCCTTCTCCTCTCCTCCTGGGTGTAGCCAACTCAGTGCAGGCACAGCCAGACATACACACACACATAACACACAAGGTAAACCTTTACAGTTAAGCTTGGCAAGGAGGGAACTAGCAAAGAATGGAAGGGGACAATTCCATATTTCTTGTTCAGTCTATTTCATGCAAGTCTCTCTATGTATGAAATTGGCTTTACTAGTACATTTTCTTAAAGGATAAAAATACTTTGTTATTGTAGCTAAAGTCATTCTTGTTCACAAAGTTTCTGAAGCACCTATACTTTCCTTGATTTGAGAGCTGTCACAGTATGGTGGAGAGCCTGCCATGCTTGGAACTAAGAAGGCCTGGGTTCTAACTCCACCTCGAATACCATCACCCTGGGCAAGTCACTTAACCTCCCTTCAAAGATTCTGAACCTTTCTTGTGTCCATGGATTCCTCTGGAAATGTGGGGAAGCCTATGATTTCTTGGAAAAATGCTTTTAAATGAATAAAATAAAAAACAGGATTACAAAGAAAACCAGTAATACAGGGCAGGTCAAAAGCCAGTACAGTTTTAAGTTTTAAAGAGATTAAAGATCTTTTAAAAAAATCATAAAACTGTACTAAAAATTTTTGGACAACCTGTATCCAAATAGAGATATTAAAATTTTTTTTAAAAAATAAGTTCATGGACTTCAGGTTAAGAACCTCTATCTCTCTGTATAATTCTGGAAATTCCCAACTCTATATAAGGAGAAAGAATTCCCAAACTGGGAGACCCTCAGGCTGACCAAAATCATAAGTCCTTCAAACATTCCTGAAACATTTGACAGTATTTAATGTGGATTTTTAAAAAATCAACTATCGTTTTTATTAAAGAGTATGCGGGGGGGGGGGGGGGGGTGCGTGCACGAATGCCTGTGCATGTGTGTTTTAGGGAAGGGGAAAAGGAGAAAAAGGAAAACACTCTTTCCTCATCTTGGCTTCCCGAAAAAGATTGTGTTTCTGCTATGATTTGAATAGGTTGCTATAATATTTTGCATACCTTTTGAACTCTGCAACTTAACATCTTGATGCATGATAATTTGTCTCATTAGGGTGTGATTATCATTCTAAAGAAGAAAACTTGTCGATGCTTCCCAGCTAGTAAAATCTCACAGGAGAACTTAAACCTCTCAAGAAATGTTTCCTCACCTCCACTCCCCACAAGTTATACTTCATGTTATCCATTAGAGAACCCTGACAATAATCAGGAAACGTCCAAGGCAACCCAAGGGATGGTGATACATTTTTCTCCCCTCAGCTGGCCCAGTCAACATTAGACAATAGGTATATCTGACCTTGGGAACCTACTCATTTCCCCTTTTAGAAGTCTGTTTCTGGCCCAATACCCTCCAGCTGCTCAGGACCCCCCCTGCACATGGTTTTGGAGTCAGGTAAGATGTGGGTTTGAATCCAGACTAAACTATTTACTGGATATGGGAGGCCAGGCAAGTCGCTTTACCTCTATGAGACTCAATTTCCTCAACTATAAAATCTATGTAATAATGCATGCCTCACAAGACCAGAAGAAAATGCTTTGTATACCTTAAAGTATTGTGGAAATGTAAGTTATTATTATTATCATCATCATTATTACTTTTGCAGGAAGGACTTTATTTCAGTCTGCCCTCAGGGATCTATGCCTTCTCACCACCTACCCGGCCCCCCAAAAGAATATGTATGTCCTACAGCTCATTTCCTCAAGGCCTTACTGTCTCCCAGGATTTAATTTGAGAAATTAATTAATGCAGCAATGTCTTGTATATAATAGGTGTTTCATAAAAGGATGATTGGACAAATGAATAGATACCTATTGTATTACCTTCCCAGGTAATTATTTGTATTCTAAAAAAAAGCCTTCTGAAGATATGCTATATAAACTCAAAGATTTTTTTTTGGCTAGGCAATGGGGTTAAGTGACTTGCCCAGAGTCACACAGCTAGTGTTATGTGTCTGAGGCTGGATTTGAACTCAGATCCTCCTGACTCTAGGGCCTGTACTCTATCCACTGCACCACCTAGCTGCCCCCGAAAGATGTTTTTAATGACATTCTTGCAATCTAGTGGGAGAAGAAATGTTTGGGAAGAAAGGCTTTCTCTTTCAACCATAACAGATCGGCAGCTGCCCACTGCCCACTGCCCACCCAATTTCAAAACCTTTCTGCTTCCTCACAGATTGGCTGCTCCATTCCACGACAGGATGAGGCAGCCGCAGCTGTCCTAAAAACACACACAATCTCATAACAGCCCAGCTGTGGGGAATACAACCCAGCTGGAACAGATGTGAAAGGTCCCATTGCTCAGACCCTGTGAGGCAAACACCCTGAAGTCCATTAATGCCAGTGAGAAGCTCCCATGCCTTGGAAGTGAATGCCAAAAAACCTCTAGCAACTTGCTCTCACTTTAGGAGAAAGAGAATAGTCAATTCAAATCCACAAACATCTATTAAACACCAACCATGTGCAAAGAACTGTGTTAGGCATTGTAAACAGAGACAAAAATGAAGTAATTCTTGCCTTCGAGGAGTGTATTATCTACTGAGGGGAGATTATAGCTCCAAGCCCAACGGTTTCCAGTGAGGCTGGTTTCTCCAAGATGCAGCATAGTATGTATAGTGGGGAAATGGCGGACAGATGTGGAGTTAGGATACTTGGATTGAAATCTGGCTTTTGATACTATCAAAGCAATCTTGGACAAATAACTCCTCGTCCCCTCTGAATCTCGATTTCCTCATTTGTAAAATGGAGATTAATAATACTTGCACCTGGGGCAGTTAGGTGGCCCAGTGGATAAAGCTCCGGCTTTGGAGTCAAGAGGACCTGAGTTCAAATCCAGTCTCAGACACTTGACACTTACTAGCTGTGTGACCCTGGGCAAGTCACTTAACTCCAATTGCCTCAACCCCCCAAAAAACAATAATACTACTTGAACCAATTACTACAGAGTTGTTGTGGGGAAAGTACTTTATAAGCCAAGCCTTTGAGCATCACAGAAATGTGAGCTATTATAATCTCTGCCCATATTGGTGTTGTTTCAAGTACTCCATACAAAGACGCTTCCTTAAGACAAGGACTTAGGGTTTCTGCCCAGGAGGGGCTACATGGGATCAAGTGTAGAGGCAAGCTTATAAAATCACAAGGCTAGATGGGGTGGAGGTTCAACAATCATAGAGTGAGAGTTGGAAGGATACTTTGAAGTCATAGAGTTCAAATCCCTCATTTTACAAATGAGTAAACTGAGGCTTAAATGGTTAAGTGCCCTGCCTGGGTCACAAAGCCTGTGTCTGAGGCAGGATTCAAACCCATGTCTTCCCGATTCTAGGGCTAATGTTCTATCCACTAGGCAATACTGATAGCTACCATGTTTTTCCCCTATAGGAGCACATGGAAGAAATAATAGGTTTGGAGGCCAACTATTTCAATCTACCAGCTGAGAACTAAATAAATTAGAACCTAGATGAATAAGGTTTCACGGTGCCCTTCTCTGAGCTTTATTTTAAGCAGCATTTCTTTCTAATTCCCACACAGAGTTCTCATCTGGCCCTTCTCCAGCCTTTTGTTGTTCTTCTATCCAAAATGCCCTTTTCTTCTCCACAGGATGGTTATAGCTTTAATGTGGGACCGCGTGGAGAGGCAATGGACAGACTTCCAGTCAGGGCACCTGGATCTGAATCCAGCCTCTTGCGCTGCTGCTTTCTGACAATGTTCTTTCCCGATTCTTCTCCTATTTGTCTTGACTACAACTTCTCTATCTCTTTTGCTGGTTCTTCCCATAACAACTGCTGACAGTGGTGTCCTTCGAGGCTTTGTCCTGCACCCTCTTCTCTCTCTGTGCTGTTTTGCTTGGTGGTCTCATCAGCTCCTATGGTTTCAATTATCATCTCCATGCAGATCACTCTCAGTTCTACTTATCCAGACCTAACCTCTCTGCTGACCTCTAGTCACACAGCCCAAATACCTTTTATACATCCCAAACCAGATGTCATGTAGAGATTTCTAAACTCATGTCTAAAAACTGAACTCATTACCTTTCCTCAAAAAACCCTCTCCTTTCTAACTTTCCTATTACTGTAAAGGGTACCTCCACCTTCCCAGTCACCTAGGCTTGCAACTCCACTGATAATTCTTTCATTCCCACCTTCATCCAATCTGTTATCATCTTACTGATTCTATCTTTTCCACATCTTTTGTATACCCACACTGCCTACCATCCCCCCAACCTTTCCTTCCTCTGATATTGCCACCACCGTGGTGAAGGTCCTCATCATTTCATGCTTGGACTATTACAATAGTCCACTGGTTGGTCTTCCAGCCTCAAGTCTCTCCCCACTCCAGTCTACCCTCCATTTAGCCATCAAATTGACATTCCTGAGGCACAAGTCTATCCATATCACCCCCTTATTCAATGTACTCCAGGATCAAATGTAAAATCTTCTGTTTGGCTTTCAAAGCCTTTCATAACCTGACCCCTTCCTCCCTTTCTAGTCTTCTTATAACTTACTCCCACCTCCATATACTCTGTAATCCTGGGACACCAGCCTCCTTGCTGTTCCTTGCACCCAATGCACCATCTCTCAGCTCCAGGCATTTTCACTTTCTGTCCCCCACCCCATGCCTGGAAGATTCTCCTCATCTATCTCCTGGTTTCCTTTATGTCCTTCAAGTCTGAGCTAAAATCCCACCTTCAGTAAGAAAACTTTCCCAGACTTCCTTAATGCTAGAGCCTTCCCTCTGAGATTAGCCCTAACCCATC